AAGCCCAAAGAAGATGCGCTCAAGATGTGAAGACCCCTTTGAAGAGTATGGACTACCAGTGCACTGCATATCCTTCAAGTGTCAAAATGAGTGAGTTACATCAAATGGAAAGGGGATCTAAGCTGACTAACCGCATTTAATTTTGTGTAGGTTTTCGTAATGTTGTCGATTGCTATAGCAAATATAAATTTGCTTCATCGACAATCCTAACACAATGTAATATAGGAAAATGTCTCGCTTTCCTTAAAATTCGCATCTGCCATATGACCCAAGGGCACTCGTGGCGATATGGCGTAGTGGTTAACGTGTCGAGATTACACGCTACACTGCCATGGTTCGACTCACGCTGGGGGTATTGATAAGACCTACCCGATGTCAAGACTGCAGTCCATCGTGAATGATAACACCTTTTGGAGGGGCAAGGCTAGGTAAAATTGAATGAAAACGTCAGCTCTACCCATATCATTGTGGGGAAATTCAAATACCAGTCCTTCATCAATACTTTAAAAGTTATTCCTCAAACTTTTGGAATAATAGAGATTTGCATGTTCGCAATTCAAAAAGCCAGACACAAGTATGAGTAAAATCTCACTCAATGGAATCATTAATTAGTATGCTCCAAACGTATGGCTCATTTTACGTGAATAGTGAAAATTTTATGCTAAAAGAGTTGTCAAACGCCAGATAATTTTATATGCCCTTTCAAGCAGTGGCAAGTGTAATCATCACTAATAGAATTAGAACTCGCCTAAGGTGTGTGAGTACGGAAAAGTAAAACGATTAAACCTCACGATTAAATCGAATTTTACGGAGCCTAAGCAGCAAAATGCTTTCTTATCCAGTTAACTTTAGTTTCAACCTTACCTAGGCCTCATCATTACTCCAAATAAACTTAGAAACCAGGCCGTGCGCATCAAGTGGCAGCGCCATCACTCCCTCGCGTAGCCAGTAATGCTAGTGAGTCATCGAATTGTACTATCTTTACCAACTCTTACTATTGGTCCGACTTCGTTTTCGCTACTTGGTCGGGGCATCAGGTAAAGGGGTTGAATAGAAACTTGGTCAGGGAATTGCCCTCACTTATCACTGTGATAAGTTGTAAATCTATGCTAACGATGCCGGCGAAAAGCTTGGAAATGTACCAAGTGGATGGTCTGGTGCTGGAAATCACGAATATTACGGCAGATGACGCATTTCTAGCTTCCATAAGGTCCCCGTGATGCTCCGCCCAAGTTGAGAAAACGAGGTCAAAACCAACATTCATATATAATGCTAAGTGCACTAGTGCTTTCAGTGAAACATACTACTTTAATAGTTTCTGAGGGCAGGAACACCGTTAAGACTGGAGACATGTAGGCTGGGTCAATAAATGCCGAATTAGAATTCCCGAGGAGTATCTATCCCTTAGCTCAAACAACTAGAAGTAAAGGCTGTGGCAACTTGGATACTATATTGGAGGCCCAGATAGGCCACGTGTTGTAGTTTAAGCTCACAATTTGCTTTTTAGAGGTTGTTAGTTAAGCTGTCGATTGTACGAAGACTTGGTCTTGCTAGTATATTTAGTTCTGCCACATCATATACGTTACGACTCGTGGGATCAGGTATCGACGGGCAACCAAGGATTTTCTTCTTAAATTTATACTAACAAACTGTGACAAAAGTATAGGATAGAGATGATATTGCCGCGGACCGTGTTTGAAAAAACATAAAAAATAGGTGTCCTGAAAAGGTAGTTCGTTTAATTGAAAAAGCCTAGGTATGAGAATAGACTTCCTGAAGATTTTACAAGGCATCAAATCCATTCCATGTTCAAACATACTACATGAACTCGGCCCTATTGGTTCCTAGAATGAACAATCAACCATAGATACAAACTGATGAAACTCTCCTATAGTATTCATAAAAATTTTAAGCATCAGACCGTAAATTCCGTAAATAAGTGTAACTGATAAGTTGTAACTGTGCTCAGAATAATGCTCTTCGCTGAAGATGTGAGCGAACGGTCTGCGGTCAACGGTTCTATGCTGGAAATTATCATGAATAATGACAGATAACACAGGATTAAGTATGCTCTACAAGGTCTTCCTGTCAATCAGACCAAGCTGTCTAAATGAAATCAACTGAATAAAAATTGGAATCCTTCTAGGTTACTTCATTTAAGAACTAACAATTGAATTTCTCCACACTGGAGTTAAAAGATCCCACCATACTAGTAAATTGCATTTAGCATTACCTCAAAAGTATTTATCATTCATGATAGGCGGCAGTTTTGATTTCGCATGGGTCTCACCAGTACTGTCAAAGGGCTCAAAAGCGGATTATGCAAGTTGTAGAAATTTAATCATTTTGCAGGTGTCAGCAGACCACAGGGCAAATGAGGCATTTAAGGTGAGCATGGGATCTTTCAAATCACCTATGGCAATATTGTTGGTAGTAAGGTTGTATATGCCATTAGATTCGACAAGAGCATTCAGTTTAGATCAGAATTTCTACCAGTATTTCTTGAAAAAGAGAGTAGGTTATGCATTTTCCTAGATGCAAATATGAAGTGGTTCGATTCAGTGCACAAAACGTGCACTTATAGTTTTTTTATGTTTATTATAATAGTGAAGTGAATAGCATATTTAATGGAAGAAGTAGGACTTCGATACAAGACCTCTATTGTCTTCGTATTGTGCTGAATTATCGTTAAGCATGCTGCCCTGCTATGACAATATCCGTCACACGATGGGCGAAAGCTCGGCAAGGATTCATCGAGGTCCCGGGGAGGTGCGCCAAGGACCTGTTCGCACAAATCTAGTCACAGCTCCAGAGCAATCCTCTTACAGTTTCCGGTGAGGCCAACGCATGAATCCCTTGCACTCGCCTCTTCAAACGAAAATGAAGCTACTCAAAAATCTATTTATTTAGGAAATCTTAGGAACCTAGATTTTTTACATAGCTACCAATATCGTTGAAGGAAAACTCAAATACCAGTCCTTCATACATCCCATTTATGATCTACTGTAAGTCTCGAAAAACTACTTCTAGGCAAGAAAAAAGTTTGCCAATTAAAGTCATATAACACCACCACACCATCAGAAAAGCACTAAAATAGAATAACCATAAATAATATCTAAAAATTATTAATTATTAAATTATGTTGCGCATTCACTCTCCTATACAGCGCTGCTAACGGCTTTCTCAGGCGATTGTCGAAGATGACCAAGGGACGCTACCGCAAAGTAAATATGTCCGAGGATCCACAGCCCCTACTGACCAATATAATGAGTCGGTATCCCAAAGAGCCAACTGATGACATCGACTACCGAGAGATTGCACAACCAAGGCTTCCTGACTTTGAAAGCGACGATTTAAGAGTTCTAGGAAAAGAGATCACTAAGGCCCGCAGTTACTTGGGGCAATGCTCCTCCTTTCATAAAGTGTGCTCAAAAGGGTTTTACAATCCCACTTCTCAATCATTTAAAGAGACACAGCAAAACAGTAGCCAGACTAACCTGTTAAATACCACAATCCACCAATAAACTAATTCCCATCATGATCTCCTAGACCGAATTAGCTGATTATACAGGCTATTTTAAAGACAAGTGTTTGACTGGGACAGTTTTAGCTGACGAAAAACTGGCTAGATTGAAAAGGTTTGGCGAGACAATAATCCAAGCCTCCTATAAATCTGGAATATTATCTGAGGGACTAAGAAGAAAATGATTAAAGCAGAAACGTTGTGATTTTGGGCCAATAGGTCCGTCTTAAAGAAAATCATGCAAATAAGTCGTAATCTTATTAGATTTATTCATGTCCGTTTTTACTTTTACTCTATATTTGATAATTCATTTGTCGTTGAGTCAAAGTGCGATAGAGACCAAAAGTAATAAACTAAGAGGTACTAATAAAGTTATCGATGAGCGAAGGGCATATGGGGAAACTGTATATGCCCGGGGCTAACTAATAAAAACCCAAACAAAATTTTTGTAGCCTTCTTTAAACACCAGTCTAGACATAAGGCACATTTTTAGGTTCAAAATTAATTTGACTCCAAAGTCAACACAAGAGAATTATAGGCCATTGATTTAAAGTGAAAGCACCAACGTGCGTGGAATTGCCTTGGCTGAAAGAATAGCCATTGAGTCAGTATGTATGAGATCCCTCCTGCGAGTGCTGCCGGTTCCAAAAATGGGACACCATTTTATCTTGAGTTCTTAACTCACTAGAAATTAGACAATCTTATCAGTCTATGGAGCGGATAGTCCCCAGCAAATGTAATCCTTCGTTATCCGTGTAACAATTTTCATACATATTTTGGTTCACGAAACTGTTTAATCTGTAGAAAAGTTGGTTTTCGAATGGTGCATTTATCCAGCACAGTTAGATTAAATAATTAGATATAAAGACCAATATGTCGTGGCGTCTGTTTTGATCGTTTCCTTTGGATGAACAGAAGTGGTCTGACCGCATTTTCGCAACTTGGTCGCGTTTTCAGAGAGACCTAATTAGATATATCTTATCCGACGCCCTCTACGATAGTAGATATGATAGTTCTTGGCGTTGGATCGTTGACCTGGCATATTCCTAGACGTTACGGCGGCATCGCCACTGGGTCTTGCCAATTAGAATCGGAATATAACTCGTCAATCACTTAACCAACTTTCTACCAAACGATTGTGCTATCACTCCTCTTCCTGCCCTGGCATGGCTACCTACTCTCTATCATCGTATTTCACTCACGCCTCACAACTTGACTTAATTATAATTGACTCCACTATAGGTGCATCATTTTTGAGGAGTTTAGTGTGGTCTTATCGCGCCTGCTGTTTAACTTGCCCCTCTCCATCTCCATTTGCTGATCCGACTACGATTTAAATCTCATTAACGGGCCCGGCATTCGTTTGATTTCTTATTGGATGACCGATTTTACTCGGTTCCAGTCACAGTATCCTCGAATCGCTTGCAGTAAGTACATACACCTGGCATATAAGAATAAGAGGCTCATTCTACATCGTAGAACCCCAATTAGGACAGCCCTTACAACCACTGCTTATCAATAAATCGGTTAGATTTTCATTTAATAGGAATGTTTACCTAATGTGAAAAGCTAAAGAAATAGCAACGGCCTCATCCTTGTCTATTGCACGCTCTACGCAGAACCATCAAAACTAACTGCCTCGACTGATATCATAACGCAGCATTTCCCCAAAAATATTGGCACACACTGGCACTGCTATGATAAATTTATCTGACCTGAAAAACTGAATCCATAAAAATATCTCATTTCTGATCCTATTATTATATCTCTAATATTGTAATGCAGGTAAAGGTTTCTGTATAAGTAGATGGGTGTGATATCAATAAATAAATATCTATTAAGACTAGAAATACCCTCAATCAAAAAGATAGGAATCGTCAGTTTCTTGAAAAAGAAATAAGTCAAGGAAGCAGAGGTTAAGACATCAATCAGCGATTTGTAATACCTACAAGAGCTCAAATGGCCAACTAAGAAGAATAAATGAAAATCACATACAAATACTGAATCTCTGAAATGATAATTAAATGGTGAACTTTCGCATAGACTGATCGAAATTCTATGGTTGGCCATAGTACATCCTTATGCTTAAAAGCAAGTAGATAAAAAAAGAAACAGAATTTGAAATATAAATGTCATTAGAAAAATTAAGTCGGAAAGCAAATAAAAAATAAAGTAAGAAATGAAATTTTTCAGATGGTAGAATGAACAGATTAAAAAACTAAGCTAAATGTAAATAAAAAATCATATTGAAGAGAGAAATGGAGAAAGAGATAACCGAATAGGGAGAATCTAATTGAAATATTTAAGTATAAAGAAAATGAAGAAGAAGATCAAAAGAATTAATTTTAAACAAAGAATAAATAATAAAAAATTTAGGAAAGTTGTAAAACATCATGCATAGTAGTCAAGAGTGTAGGACAAGCAGTCTGAAATAAGAAATCCATTAGAATACGATGGTATCGGTAAATGAAAAAGACGGACGTTATAAGATGTGAATTGCCCACACTGAGATGTCATATCAGTCATGCATCAAAATGCCTCCTCACAATCATAAGGTAATACTACATGTCTGTAGGAACACTTGGTCGAGGCTTACAGGAGATGTGCATCAGTCAGACATCACAACAGAACCTCGTGGATATGCGTGCATGC